AGGAGCATATTGCTTGTTTAGGTCAGGACGAATGAGATCTCTTCGTTTCAGATTAAGCTCTCTATTTGCTGACAACAGCAGGACTGCTGTATGGGTCAAAACATTCCTCTGATCCCCATTTGCACTGTTGCACAGCTGAAGTACAGCATATAAACCTGACAAGAGCAAGGACTGTGCCTTCTGGAAAGCTGAATCATTGTTTCTGGTCTCCTGTCGTAATTGTTGCCAAATTTGCTTGTTTATCTTGGGTGCAACCAAATTAGTGCAGTTTTCAGGTCTGAGGTACTTGTTCTGTACCTCGGCCAACTTTTCTTTTGTGAGCTTCTCTGTAAGCAGACTCTTCACTATTTCTGCCAAATTTGCATCTATGGCAGGTGAAGTTTTCTCTAGAACGCTAAATTCATCAGCGAGTGATTTAAAGGAACCGCCATCCGAGCCTTCAGCAGGGTCTGACGTTTTTGGCTGGATAAAATCATTTATTTTAGTTGCAACAGTCGTTGCAACAGCTGTATCCGAACACTCAGTGCTCGCTTCACCGCTCTCAGGGCCGGTCTCATAATCTTCAAAATCGGCATAAACCTTCTCGATAGAGTCTTGCACGTGAGCCAAAATGTCTCTTTGGCATCATCTAAAAGTTCAGCAAACATCGCCTTGAAGTCCACGGGCGAAGTACCTCCAGAATTTGTAATTTTCTGAGACTCCTCAGACATCGTCTGAAGAAATTAAGATGAATAAAGAACACGTCAAGCTTTTTGTACTACAAAATGGCGGACTCGTCCGCCACGTGGTATCAAAACAGTCGGTCCAAATAACCGGCTATGTAGCTAGTCACAAACTCGTTGAGACTTGTAAAGATACGAGGAAAGGGTATAAACGCGTTACACCACAATTGCTTAAACTCTGGACACGTCCAGGAGTCTTCTCATAAAATTATAATTCGGCACAAGAGCCGAGACCGCCTGTGACGCGTCACAGAGCACGAAAAAGGAAAAAATCCAGACAATAACGGCTGGAAAATGTAATGTGGAGCGCGTCCACAATAAAAGAAAAATAAACGAAAAAGTAACTGTAAACTTACCGTGATAAGCAGCTGCCAACGGCGTAGAAATATCGGAGAAAAATACACACGACTAAACCCACGGCGAACGATACATGCACTGACCTGCGGCGGTGCGTGCGCATCTCATGGTAACCCGGATGTATGTAATGATTTGGTAGAACTAGCTAATGTCGGTCTGTAAACAAACACCTAAAAAGAATGTTCAGCTAGTTAATTGTCCTAGTGAAAACACAGCCTTGTACAATTACTTTCAGTCAAACATGGATCGGGTTTTGTTAATTATGACAGAATGTAATTAAAAAGCATTATGTTGACAGCTACAAGGCACATGCTTGCCTTAAGCTGCGAGTATCCCGCCATGTTTTAAACAAAGGGCCTCTGACCAACCCGGCATTCTAATCCGCCACAAATATGTGAAGCACGCGTCTTTCAAAGTCGCCTAGTACTTAAAATCGGGGCTCTGGCCTGTTTTATACCAAATATATCGGAAATTTCGGGTGGAACATAGGTGGGGTAAGCCTTTTTACCATTTCCTAGAACTGGAGAATTTTCGAGGTGAAGGGGCTTCTAGAAAGGTAGTCACGTTTTCCTCTTGTCCTTTTCCCCTTTTCTTATTTACATATTTTTCACCTTTCTTTTCCCTAAGTTCCATTTGGCTTTCAGGGCCTTTGTTGTCTTCCCTTTCCTCTAATAATACAACGACACGTAAGGAGTTATATATGGCAATTTTCGAGTGTCAATGTTACAACACTTTCACGTTGTGACACCTTGCCCATTTTAGAGGGCTTGCGCAACGTACTACAAATTCGTTATGCCCTGTATCCTCAATTTTCAGGGGCACCCAACGACGGTCTCCTCCGCAATACATTGAAAACTATTTTTAGGCTATTCAGAGTACTTTTAGATCTCTAAAATGCATTCCAAGGAGCGCTATAAAATTTGTGTCTGTTTGGCCATCCTAGGGGGACTTGAGCATTTTCGAAATTACAAGTTACGGTTTCAGTCAGTTATTTTCCCGAAAATTTTAGATGTAATTTAACTTACAACGAAAGTGAGAATTTTTCTGATTTCTCTCTCCATCACATTTTTGAATTCGAAAATTTTAAGTTTCCTTTCTCTACGAAAAGTAACCTAACCCAGGGAGTGAAATGTGAAAATTAAACTTCAGAAAATCGTAGGCAATTTATTAGGTAATCTTCGAAAATTGTACATGAATTGAACGGTCATCTAGACATTTTTAGCCGTCCTCAAGTTACAGAAAATTCTAGGCAATATTTACTTCTCCGAACAGATCTTTTACAGAAAACAGTCTTTTGGTGGCCTTGAATGTTAACTCATTTAATACGGTCTCAATGGATTATGGACGTACTCAAGGTTGGCACAGTCGCAATTCCTGCCTAGGTGCAGATTAATTCTAAACCGAGTGCTGTGATGATGGAGAGTGGAACCCAAAAGTTCGAGTTATGAAGTAAATTTACTACCGTTAGGCGTTCTGATGAGCTCTGAGACGGGCTTGTACTACATACATCACTGAGCTTTTTCTCCTGTCTACTGTAACATCTGTATTTTCATTCATGATCTCGAATGTGTTTTAGAGACGTTTAAAGTGATTGCGCCCACGCACATCAGATAGATTTATTGATATTCTTTTCAGTTTGGGTTAAAGAAAATACTACTGAGTCAATACCCCCCAAAACAATACACGGATAATATATAGCCTGCGAGCAAGCTCTCCATTTCGAGAACGCCCTAGCGAGAGGGGACACCGCCCTCGCGTGACTTCCACGACATCCCCCAATTAGAGAACTGGCTCCCACGCAAGATTGTGTTTTTAAATTGTTTTTCATTTGCTAATTTATCAAGTGCATTTAATTTTTATTTGATTCCAGGAAAGACCAGTGGTATTCTTCCTAATCTCGATACACTTCAGTTTCGCAATGGTCCTTCGTTTGTGTACGCGAATCAAAGCTTTGGTTGGCAGCAGTTCTGTGTTCTTTATACAGAACCAGAAAATGTTTCAAGCACTCGCTATGACTGGGATACAGTGAATATGGGAAGCTACTTGTTTCAAAACCCAGGAGATCCCAAGAATCAGCAGTCACCTCCGATGGGCATGCGTAGCGCTGTCCCCTTGGGTGGTCTCGGTAAGGAAATGGCCTTTATTGTCCAGTTCAGGGGCCCATAACATTTATATTAATTTATAGTAAATTGAATTTGAATTGTCTACTTTAGCCGAACGTAGATAATCAAAGGCAATAGTTTTTAACTCAACAAACGACAATTTAACTACTTTTTAGCTGGGTTTTTTTTTGCCCTTTTTCTAATAATAATAATGGGCGAATTTGAACATAAAATGTGTGTTTGCCATTGCTTTGATTTCAAATTGCCCCTTTTAAATAACTTTGAAGCTCAATGTGTTCATATTTGAGTTTCCCTATTGAAAGCAAAAGATTCCAAAACATTGTTTTGAACAAATACGGTTTGTCAGTAGAACTGTTGTTTTTTTCCGGGACACATTCAAGGAGTAACTGAAGGTTTGATGGTGGGAGGCACCGCCAAAATGTTCAACTTCTTTTTTACAAAAACGGCCATGTTAAACCAAACGAAACACCACTTTTAAAATAGCTTCAACAATAATTTGCATCCTTTTCTTATACGACAAAATGGTCGTAGGTTATTGATTCGTTTGTGCCCTCAGAAAGATAGTAGCCATAGGTTGGGTCGACTCAAGTAGGTAAATTGGGTTCGGGACTTGTCAAGTTCAACCTATGTACTGGATGGGCCTTTATTTCTGAAAGAAAAGAGATAGGTCGTGAAATTTAAGTCGACTACGTGTTGTCGATGTTGTATTCATGAGTTAATAATATGCGGGGCGTTTTCAGGCACAGGATCCTTTGAACTCCGTGCAGATGGTTCTATTCACGAGTGGACAATTGAGAACCAGTCTCCTGCAGGCTCAGCCAAACTTAACTACGCAGCACTGGATTTGGCCGTGTTTGGTGTCCGCTTACAGAGCGGAACCAAAAGTATAGCAAAGCTACTACGCACCCACCCTCCCAGCGGATATCCAGGTACCTTATTATGGCGCTTAGCATTAGCAAGATCTGGCCCGGCCTGGTCAATCCAGTCATGGAGAGAATTCCTCTCAGCCAGGACCTTCCAGCAGTCTTTTTCTAAATAATGTGTAGGAAATCGGTTTTTTAGCGAAATATTTCAAAAAAAAATTATTTCTGATTTTCAAAATTACCCGAAAGATCAGTCCGGCCGGCCCGTTCTGACTTATGCAAGTACCCAATACTGCCGTCATAGGCTTCACTTTCATGAGAACGAAATGGATAAAAAGTTTTGCAGTTGAACAGTCTCCATTTTAGTCCTTACATAGTTTTGTCTATTATTAAATACAACGCAGTTAGATTAAAGTAACTCAAAAATTATTTATGGTCTGCTTACTAGCGGTATTCAGCATTTTAAAAAACACCTATCATCCATTTATGTAGTTCATTGTCAAAATGTATCTGTTATGGAGCTTTTCAAAATAGGCCTTTTTGACCTTTTTTCTTTGTTCTCAAACGTAACTTCAAAGAGAGGCGTAGCGTGAGGTTTTGAAGGTGTACGCACAGAAAGAAAGGTTGGACCTCTGAAGGTACTGCAAACTTGTGGCTCAGAAATGCCATATCTTGCGTTTTCCGCAGGACATTTTCCGTAAATAACTAGGAAAGAAAATGCAATATTTAGTTGTTTAATTTACATCTCTAGTGTTATTGGTAAGGTGAAACGGTAAAAAAGGTAAAACAGTGACGCTATCAAGAAGGTTACATGCAAAGGACGAGATGTCTACCCTTCAAACGGGCAAAGATACCAGTGTAAGGCGAAAGATTTACCAATCATCCCGATTTAATGATAAAAATGCTTTCAGGAAATGAAAAATATATTTTTTTCGAGATTTAAGCTTTACGCACGGGGGTGTGTGCGTATATGGACACTACGCCCCTGTTAAGCTTAATTGGTAAGAAAGAAATAGCTCTGAATGTGTATGCGCGTTAGCTGGGGAGAGTCCATTTGTCCCCCCACCACCGCCCCATTCCCCACATCGCGAGGCGTCTTATTTTTGCTTCGCTTGCTTTATTGGCTAGTTCAGGAAAGGTTCTAAGAGAAAATTGTTGAAATAAATTTTTCAACGCTAAAAGGTACTTTTTATCGCCGCAGGTATCAACAATGAAGTTGTGTGACTCTGTTTACAAGTACAATAACTTGAATAAACTCATGGTTACTTTGTTTTGGTTTTAAACAGGAGTTGACTCAATAGGCTATTCTGGTTCGTATCCAGTCTCCAAGCTAACCATAGCAGACGAACAATTCGGCGAAGTTGAACTTGATTTATTTGCCTTGTCTCCACTGAAGCCACGTGATTCTCACACTTCCACCACTCCTGCCATTGCCTTTACCTTACGAATTAAAAATCCGACTAAGCAATTCGTACAAGTTTCTTTCCTTGTTAATTTGCCCTTGGGGATTCAGCCTGATACCGCAAGGGATGGCAAACCGGACAAAACCTTTAAAAATGGAAACATTACTCAGTGTTCACAAGCCTGTAATCTAGACCAGCAATGTTTCTCGTGGCAAGTAGAAACAAAAAGTAAGATTTGCCTGTTGTTCTATCAAGTACCACTTCATGTATGGAAACCTGGTTTTATTTCTGGCCAAAAAGTCACGTGGACAGCTCATGACTCGATGCTAACGCTCAATAGGTGTGGAAACCACCCTCAAAGCGGAAATACCACTATCTTGACTGACGAGAAAACCAATTCGTCATTCATAGTCAGCAATAGTTTTGAAGAAATCTGGGATCAATTTGAGAAATACGGCTACTTGGTACCCTCACTCAAGTCTTCCACGAGTGGTTTTTACGGCGCTGCGGCTGTCAACGTTACCGTGATGCCTGGTAAAGAAGAAGTTCTGACGATGATTTTAGGCTGGTTCTACCCCAACAGAGATTTTACAGGTGTGTTAAGATAATTAAATCCCGGTATTAGAGTCTCAAGAGGAAGTTTTTTCCTTATAAATTCCAAACCTATTTTGCTGTCTATTTGGAATTCTTTGAATCCCCACCCAGCGTAAACTAAATAGATTAAATTGAACCTTGAATTCTAAAACTTTAGCGGTTCAGGGGGCGTGGGTTCGTATAGGATGCTTCAGATCGGCAGTAAGCATATATTCACACAGTTCCAGTAGTACTTGCCCATGATGGATTAAAGGAGGAACGAGAGTGAGAGAAATGTAAAGACGATTTAATTCTTGTTTTAGATATAAATCGCAGTTATTTTCCTCCTGTCATGTGGTAAATGCGGTGAAAGCGAAGTGGCATGTTGTGAGAATATTTGGAAAAAGCCACGAGAATATATTCAAGCAGGAAGCGGACAGCTTTTATTACCAACAGTAAAAAATGTTCCTGATCAGTAAAATCGAATACTATATAGTAAATCAGGCTGTTAGGCCCATCCCTACCTCGATAGACATATGAAATAGTGTTTTGTAATTGGAGAATTTGAGACGCTTATTTGCAAATGTCGTGTTTTTCTGGCTTATGAAAAAAGTTAGTTGGGTTAGACCCAAAAGCTTGCCGCCTGGTATGGTTAAGATGTTAAATATCCCCCTTCCGATTCAGCGTTTCTTTTGTTAAGAAGATTTTTGTATCCGGATTCCGTTTAATTTTTTTGTTGTTTCAAAGCAAAGTAGCTCTACGTTTCTCGATAGTTTACAGAGCCGAAAAACTTTTGTTATTCTTACGTTTTTCTTCATTCAGGGGAGATTATCGGCAATTACTACAGTAACCTCTTCGAGTCAAGCGAGGATGCAGCCTTGTTCCTTTTAGATAATCTTTCTCCGGCTTTGAAAGCCATCTCCGCGTGGCACTCGTCAATGATTCTCGACAGCGAAGATGACTCGGTCCAGACCCTCCCAGTGTGGCTACAGGATGTGTTGGTGAATGGCTTGAGTTTCTGGCGCAGTGGACTCTATCTTCGTGATGGAAGGTGGCGTCAGTTTGAGGCTCTGGACTGCATTGATGTTGATTCGGTTCACAATGACTTTCAGCGGGAGATTCCATACGTTTTATTTTATCCCGACTTAGTCAAGAATGTTATGCGAGCATGGGCAGAGTTCCAAAGTGAAGACGGCTTTATTAGTGAAACACTAGAGGGCGGGTGCATGTCCCCCACAGGAAAAATGGACAGGTTAGTATTGGTGTTAACGTTAAGGCCGGGAGGGAGGAGAGACCAAGGATGACCTCTGTTCGCAATGAACTTTGGTCCTGTTGGCATAAGAGACAAGGACTACTGCTCGATGACATTGTCTCGATTTTACGACGACGAGAGCTCAGTCTGAGATTTTTAGAATCCAGGCTGGATTATGAGAATTTGAGAATTTAGTTTAGACTGGAGAAAAGGCAAACTCGCCCGCCAGAGCAGACGTATTTCCTTTAGTCACTTCTCTGAGCCCGAACTTTTCAGTTTTTCCTACAGGCAAACACAAAAGAGAATTATGAGCTTTCTTCGGCAAACACGAACAGGCCGTTTGTAGAAAATACCGGGCTATAGTCTGGAGTTTCGCTGGAATGGAGAATGTCAAAATGTAAACTTGTTGGCATGTGTTGTCTGAATTTGAATCAGTACTTCACTCCAGTAGTCCATATACACATTTCCGAACTTACTTAGAAACCTTCACCTTCAAAATCAGAGCCAAAAGCAAAACCCTTCATGTGAAAATGAGTTTTATTTGCATGATACTAAAATATTTCGAACTTCCTCTCGTTTTGAAACGGTGCGACCGACCCCTTGGATGACCCTCAAGTGAGCCGGTCTGTATCGGTATTTGCCTCGCTCCAAACATTAATTTTAAGTAAAGCTCTGTTGCCCCTTTCACAGTCCTCCGCCAAAGTCACGGATTATGGGTGACGTCACTACAGTCTTCGTTGTAGAAACATATCACATTTTTCTGTGGACCAATGACAGTGCCTTCTTAAAAGACATGTGGCCGCACGTTGTTAGGGCAGTTGACTGGTTGATTAAAGTGGGAACAAATGGCACTGGTTTACCTTACAGACAGCAGTGCACGTATGATATCCTTGGTCTGAATATCTATGATCACACTACTTTTAACAGTTTTATGTATATACTGGCTTTACGAGTGGCGCAGGAGTTGTGTAAAATTATGGATGACTCATATCTGCTGAAAGAGGTTAATATCGCGAAAGAACACGCCAGCTATCGGATCTTAAAGGAAATGTGGAGTGAAGACGATGGTTATTATCATGCCTGGTGGGATGCAGAGAAAGGTTCACCAAAATGGCTGATGAGTGATTCACTGTACGCTCAGGTTTGGGCTTACACTCTGGGGTTAGGACACTTGGACGATCCAAGCAGGTAAGGATGGGATATTTTTATGGTTGTGAACTATTGGATGTCATCCAATAGTAGTATAATACGTAGTTAGAGTTAGTAATCATTAACTGGCCATATCGTGTGTTTGCGTGAGCACACGTGCTTTGTTATCATTTCGAAGCAATCTTAGTCATACGGCATTTACATTTTTTTTTTCGTTTAATTGAAATTCTCATTATGCCTCCTAAATGAGCTAGCAAAAGATTTACAAAACCATCTACCCCTGACAGCAGTTGGCTCTCCAAATTTTGTCGATCCAACGAAATCCCAGAAGATGTCATGGACGTATTAGCTCATCACAACCAGATAACGTCAAAGTCGTTTTAAGGTTGGGATACTTTTATGATTAGTTAAACGCCTCTAATCTATTCTAGTTCCTCAGTCTGTGTACACCGCTTCCTGTTCTTTTTAAATAGGGACTTTAAGATTGAACGACGCGACGACAACGAGAACGTCGCTTAAAAAGTGAATTTGCGTTCTTTCAGTCTTTATAGCGATCATTCCTACCCACTTACTTTGTCAAATGTAGGCGAACCCTCCTGAAGCTAAATTTCAAATGACCATATCCAAGCTCAGAAAGAGAAGTACAATTTCGTCGTTGCTTGTTTACGTCCTCCATAAACGCCAAATAGGGCATTTTCACGTCCTAGTCGTGCAAAAACGGGAAAGAAATGTACAAAAAAGTGTGGTGCACGTGCGAAGTAGTTGTTTTGCTTATTAAAGCTATCGTTTTTTTTTTTTGCCTTCTCGTTACCGTCCGCGTCGTTGGATCTTAAAGTCCCTAATACAGGCACCGAGATCTGAATAATTCTTCATGTAGTACGAAAGCCGACTTCATTAATCGTTTTATTCATTCAAAATATTTCCAAGCTCAAAACATGCTTACCTCCACGTAAAGTTCCTGTCTTCAAAATATTTGCTTGATCCTGACCACGTCAGTTTCAGGAAATGAAGGGGTAATTTTTTGTAGAAGATATTCTTGATATCGCAGTTATCATCCGTCGAACGGTATTTTTGTCTTTTCTTGCTATAATTTGGGTATTATAGTTCATAATGTAACGTAGACCGTGCGCATCCATTATTTTTCTTCAAAGTTAGTGGGCGAAGCCGCGAAAAGCGAGAACCGTTGGCCTACTCACCCTCCGCGTCTATCCGTTCACACATCACCGGTCGCGTGCGTGGGAATTTTTTTCTCGCACGTGTTTCGTTCAAAGAACCAAGAAAACAGAAGGTCAGCCTGTATTATAATGCAGCAAGTCCAATTTTACAACATGTTTGTGATTCTGTTTAGGATTAAATCACATTTGATGAAGGAGTTTGAAATTAACAATACCCCGTATGGTCTACGAGTGATGGCAACTGACCCACCCACTAACAAGAGCGTGGGCTCATGTCCCAAGGATATTAAAACCGAGGAATTAAACGCCCGGGTAGCCAAATACGAGTCGATTTGGATGGGTGGCAACCCAGATTGGACAGCTCTTCAGCTACATTTAGGTAAGACGGCTGACACACTATTTGAACATGTTAGATATTTCAGAGTGTTTTCAAATGTATCTAGTAAAGAAAACAGTTTTATGTATATAAAACCGACAAATGCCGACGGAAATGGTGTCTCTTACGTCTTAATACGTGCAAACTTACAAATTTTGTCAACCTTCTATATTCACGTTTATGATTGGTAATGATGATGATGATGATGATGATCGACAAAAGTGTAGGTGTTAAGCATTGTAAATAGATATAAAGTGACGCCTTATTCGTTAGACAGATCTTTGCTTATGTTATGAATTTTCCATTTCAGGCTTTAACCCTCAAAAAGCCTTGCAGCAAACAGAGCAAGCCATCGAGCATGTGCGTTCTAACCTCAACGATGAGTGGAACTTTCATGGACTATACTCGGGGACTGGGTACGGACTTGATGGTCTCCCATGGTGCACCTCGCATTATGCCTTCCACATGGTGCTGTGGCACATCCCTTTTGCACTTTCGGGGCAGGCCTTCTCGGCGCCAAATGCCACACTTTTATTCGACCCTAAATTTCCTTGTCCATACACAGTTCCTTTCTACACTCCTTTCGCCATAGGAACTTTAAAATGCGCTCTTGTCCAGAAAAACCATAACCATCAACATATAAATAAGTTTGAAATTTTGTCAACCTCGGGTGACATATTTCTGCAACAACTTGAGGTCAGCGGCAGTCGGTATCCGACCAAAGTTATGCTTAAACAAGGCAATCCAGTCACTTGGATGTCGAGCTGTGACTAGAGAAAGGAGTCCAAGATTTTCAATGTGTCACTTACAGATCAAGTATATTAAGTAATAATATGCATACAGTGGTTTCAGAACACTTTCAGAGCAACATTGATGAGCCTTGAGCCTGTAGCCATCCTTAAATTAAATGTGATCAACTATCATCTCCTACTACATATATTATATAACATATTTTTATTTTGCTTTTCTGTTATCTGCTCTTTTCTGAATAACCACACCCTACCTTTTCACAGTTGATGCAACTTCCGTTCATTGTTTTACTTAGCTATACTGCATATATATTTCTGTTAATTCGTGCCTTTTCCTCGTAAACTTGATTAAGACTGGTATTGGCCCGTCGGAATATTGTGACTACATGTTTGTTGTTTTTTCTTAAACAATAATGTATATCTTTTCATCAGTTTTACAATCAATATCAAAGGAGCGAGCTTGAAGGAGGAGCACGCATGTATCCCAAAATGCTTCACAAAAATCCTCAGGCCACGTGACACAGTCCAAGATAGATGGCGTCTAAATTCATTTAAAAAAATGCATTCTACAGGTGGTTCATATTTATGTATTGTGCTTTTAACCTGTAGATGGATAGATAGCCAGACTGGAGGTAACATTTTAACCATTTGGTTCCACTCCTTTGTTGTTAGATTGTAGTGCACCATCCTAGCAATTAAAAAGGTTTTAGTGGATATGTCAGGAAGAAAGCACACAGCACCAAACAACGCGGTATGGGCAGATCAAGTTACGCATGCGTACAGCCAAATTACCTCTTCCACTCCCCCCGTCCCTCCAGGAGCAGCCATGGACAGCTGTTTCGTCCTCATAAGGACTCACCATCACGAGATAGGCGGAAAGATCTCACTAGTGATCACAGATTCCGCTTTTACTACCAGACAAAGTACGGAGGACAAAGCAGGGGCCCATAGCCTCATAAAACAGACTATCTCTTTTTTTTCCGCTCGGTTTATTTTTCGCCAGTACTCCACTAGCCTGGAACAGGCTAAGCAGCTCATGGCTTTGCCGGGGTGAAAGGCTTGCTCATGCGTCTTGTCCTTGCCATACCGTGGAGTTTGAAAGTGTGTGCTTGGGTCCTGGTCATAAATTCTGTGGCACACCAATCAGCAAAAAGGTGTTCCCTCGTCCATACGCTTGGACATTTAAAAAAAAAACTTTCCATATAAAATGTCACGTATTAGACATTATTCGTTATGTGGCATTATTTCATGTCGCTCAGTAATTCATTGACTTTTGAAATACGTGTTAGTAGTAATGATAAAAATAGCAAAGTTTGAAGAATATTAATTGTTTAATACAGTTTTGAGAAAAATGCCTGGTACATGAAGTTTTGTGGTAGGACAAAATGTTGACAAGTAACATTGAGATTTAATTGCCACAATAAATTCCCATTTTTTCAAGAAAGAATCAGCTATTTTCAGATTTGTTATCAATCTCGTTCTCACATTATCTCTCCTACCCGTGGTAGGAGAGAACCCTGGGAACGAGGTTAATTTGTTGTTTGCTATTAGGCCACTGCCGAATGGTTAGACTTTCTAGTCTTCTCGGATAAGGACGATAAACCGTAGGTCCCGTCTCACAAGCCCTTGCACATGCAATAAATCTGTGGGACGTAAATAACCTTAGCTGTTGGCTGAAAGCTAACAAGCTCAGTCTAAATGTTGCTAAAACAGAGCTAATGATTATTGGATCAAGACAAAGACTATCTGCCGAATGTGACGATGTAGAAATCAGAATTGATGACCAAATTATCAAGAGAGTCGATCATACCAAATCCTTGGGTCTTACCATAGATGCTCAACTCTCTTGGGGTAAACCCGGTGGGTAAACACGTTGAAGAGATTTACAAGAAAGTCTCTTCAGCTATAGGCGCCCTAACACGTGTGCGGCCCTTTATATCCAAAGAAACTGCCATTCAAATTTATAACGCCTTAATTATGCCTCATTTTGATTACTGCAGCCCCGTCTGGGACTGTTCGAGTGGTTACTTGAGTGATAAGCTCCAAAAATTACAGAAACGTGCAGCCAGAGTAATTATTAAATCACCCTTTGATGCGAGCTCAAACCACCTTCTCTCCATCCTCAGCTGGGAGAGGCTATCTCTTCGACGAAAGAAACAAAAAGCCTTAATGGTGTATAAAACCATGAATGACCTTGCTCCGGAATATCTACAAAGTCTTTTCTCTCAGCGTCACTCTGCTTACAACTTAAGTAACTCTGAGGGAAGGCTGACCCTGTCCAAACCAAGCACCAATTATTTGAAACGAAGCTTCTCTTACAGCGGGGCCATGTTATGGAATAACTTGGCCAAAGACTTGAAAAATGCTGCATCCGTTGAGCATTTTAAGCGAAATATCAAGAAGGTAGGTAATATATCGGATTCCCACACGGCAATCATGTAAAGCAGTTGTAATTACTGTGAAACCTGTATTAAGCGGACACCCTCGGGGAACGCTGTGGTATCCGCTTAATACAGGGTGTCCGCCTAATACAGGTTTCGCTAGATAACGTGATATGAGGTGTCAAATGCCCTTCAAATGAACTGTGGAAATGTTGAGAATACTCCCGGAGACTTTGACGATATACGTTTGCGTTAATTTCTTTATCAAAGTGGACCATTTGATCATAATACCATAAACATAGACTGCAACTCCAATTTTAAGAAATCAGATGAGTGAAACAAGCTCTATACCAACAAAACGAAATAGAAAACAATACTGTACTGTGAAACTAATCAAATAAGTTCGTCAAGTCACGTTTTTTAATGTAAAAATCGAAAAAGTTGTGGGTGGCAATTCGAGACAATCTTTCGCATTTCCGGTGTCTGGCATGTTGGGTGTGGTGGAATTTAATTACAGGTGTCCGTTTAATACAGGTTGGCAACAATAGAAATTATCATTTAAAGTAAATAAGGGAAATAAATTTTGGGACTTTGGCTACTGTCCGCTTAATAGAGGGTGTCCGCTTAATACAGGTTTCACTATAGTTTTAGTTTTTAACTTAAGCTTAACTGATGATTTCCCGTGTTTAAATAAAGATTTACATACATACATACATATAGCCTGCGTAGCTGGCGGTATTGTGTAGTAGTCGAGTGAGATTTGGCGGCGGAGTCGTTGTAATATAGTCGAGTGAGATTTGACGGCGGAGCCGTCAAGAGCGGCGAAGCCGCGAGAAATACCGCCTGCCAGAGAACTATGATTTTTCGAATGCCGCCCACTTTTGTCACCTTAGCTGATCCCAATTAAATCAGCCAATCAAAGACAAACCTGCAGCTTGAAACTTCCGATTATTTTCGCCCGAGACAGTTAAGAAATAGGCGTTGACAGGCTAAACACGACTCCTAAGGGAAAGTTCATTTAATATGACAAGGGGGGGGATGAAGATATTGAAACTCGAAGCTTGAAATTTTAGCAGCCCCCATCGCTAGCCGTTCAATTTTTTAGGAGCCCCCTCCTTGGTAGTCGAAAAAATTTCAGAGCCCCCCCCCCTCCTCCTTCAATTCCTTTGCTCCCCTGAAAAAAGATCGCTAGACTGTATTAAATATATTTAACGTTATTGTCTTCAATGGTTTATACTATGACAAACTTGAGATACAGTTGTCATACAATTTTCTAAAGCATTTTTGGGATGAACAAGAGTGTAATAATTACTGAGACTACATTTGTTATATCTGTAAACCACGTGATATAGCTGAGTTGCACAGGTCATTAAATTGTTGAGTTGAAAACCATCCGATCTGTATGATGATGTCATGTGTTGGTTTTGAAGTATACAAATTTTCGGAGCCCCCCCTTCGGGTGTCTAAAAATTTTTGGAGCCCCCCCTCAATATCTTCACCCCCCCCCCTTGTCATATTAAATGAACTTTCCCTAAGCTCGTGATAATGTGAAACGTGACCTTGTGAGTTTACTTAAACAGAGGTTTTTTTAATTTTCTCGACTCTCGCGCGAAGGTTACTAGCACTACACAGTGCATGTATCATTCTAAACTTTGACTGAGTAAATCTTTTTTTGCCACACTAGGCTTAACAATAAAAGGTCATGAAGCTGGTTTGTTACATGCATACTGAGTAACCATTTCCTGTGGTTTATTCTTCTGAAGGTGTTTCTGATAGGATTTGATCTCAGATGCAGTTGTAAAGTGTTTTAATTTTCTTTGACCTTTGTTTCTTACGGCTGAATAAAGACAATTCCAGCGCTGTGAAGATTAGAGACGCCATTTAGGCAATTTGGTCATCAATTATGCTCTTTTTAAATGGGAAACCACAATCACTTACGTCTTTTCCAGTTTGCCATCTGCTCCCTTAATTGGGAAATATATGCGAAGGATCATCTAACATGATTGACATATGTATAGCCCTCGACCAATCCGTTTCTCCGCACACTGGTGTGCGGACTATTCAAAATACCGCCTCGTCCCTACTCCCTTTTTTTGGAACACGGCTCCGCCGCCAAAACGTTAATCTCGCACCCACACAATACCGCCAGCTACACAGGCTATTAGAAGCCCTATGGGGAGTGGATAATAAGATATTTACAATTTCATGTAATAATTTATTAAAGCTTGTGTTATTGCGATGTTGTATATGAATTATCCTCGATGTGTATTTTCAGCAAATTTTGTAAAGGAATGTACTGATGTTAGTTACGTTGCTGGAGAAGGTGTGGGATTAACTGTACATAAGAAAAGTGTTGTTATAGAGGAAATAGAGGAAGTGGAACTGATATCCCCGGGGGGGGGGGTACTTTAGGAATTTCTGGGTGGGGATGTGCCGCTGGGACCCTGGAACCCTTAACCTATACCAGAGCTAGTTCAGCTGAATTTTGCTACCCTATACTAGAGTAAACTCCCCAAATCCCCCTATCCTAGAGTAGCTGTTTCCCTTGTCTAGATAAAATCTTCAACCAACTGATCAGTTTCCTGAGAAATGATACCCTGTTCTAGACCCAAACGCTCTGATTTACATACTCTACCCTAGAGTAAACTGCCTGAAAACCATACCCTTCACAGCGGCACATACCTATATAGCCCATATGTGGCAGTACCCCACCCCCCCTGATATCTCGTCGTGCGCAATTTATTTATGACAGAAATTATGATCGAAACGCTGTTATGCACCAAGCAAACATCCGGTGAAGAAGTTAAAAAACGTCTTGACAAAGGAGAAAAGTAAGAGTATTTGTACGGAAGGGTATCAGGAAAAATATCATTTCTTACTATTCCTCCGCATTCACAATTAATTCCAATACTACGATGCCGAATTGCACGCTCACATAGCGTCTTATTATCTTCATTTTTGCCTCAGACGAAAAACCTCCAGTAAGCAATCTCTTTGTCGAGGATCAACTGACATGGATAATGGCTCTGTATACATACGCATACATGACTTATCTATGGGTGCATTCGCTGAAATGAAGATGGAGTCGGACATGGAGTATCTGTCGGACGAGTCCTGGCAATGGGAGGAAGAAGATTCAGAGAATGAGTCAAAAGATTCGAGTGACAACTAGAAATCCTCAGTCTGGTACACCGCTTGGTTCGGAGAAGCTACTGATCTTCGTAACATTTTGCAACGGCTAAATCAAATAGAAAGAACGGATGCACTTTAACAATTTACGCTGTGGCTATATGGCCGGTAACCGGTCAGTAAATTTCACAAAATCGAAAGATTCTAGCTAATCTAAACTATCATATGCCGATTAAGACAAGTCAAGCGATCCTGAAATGCTATATAGATCTCAAGTCTAGTGTTTGATTTACGCCGGGCTCAGAAGACGAGACCGTGTTTTGTGACACTTAGAAGTTTTTTCAGCTCGACCGCCGGTCACAGTTTTCAAAACACTGCCGGTCATTTAGTGTTTTTAACACCTTGAGCGGTTACCGGCCATATAGCCACAGCGAACACTTTAAATCCATAAAAATCAGGGAGGACATCTGTGCAAGATATTTTGGCGGCACCCCACTCATCGCTGCTGCTCGCCGCTGAGAACTGGATTGTGTCAAAGAGCTTCTTCGATACAACGCAAATATTGAAGCTTCAGGACGAAATGTCGCAGAAGATATAAACAACTGGGAAGTCGACGGAACTGCTTATTACAGAACTCCCGTGGATGATCAGAATGGTACAGCATTTTTGCAGCCGCTGTCGAAGAACATGTTGAAGTTGTGAGCTATTTAATAGAGCATGGGGCTAATGTTAATGGGAGATCTAATAAACAGAGCACTCCGTTAATTATAGCAAGTTTTTGCAATAAAAATGTTGTAAAGTGCCTCATTCAACATGGAGCTAATGTTGACAATCGCGACGAAACTGGTTTTACGGCGGTGTATTATGCTGTTTTAGGCCAGGAGGAGCGAGGACGTTAGCAACATGAAACTGAGAAAAATGGTAGAAAATTTAGTTAAAAGAAAAGAATGTACGAGTAAAAGGAAAATTGATGCTTTAGAGCTTCTTGGTGCATCAATTGCGCTGTCAGAGAACGCTGTGGAGGGATTTAGTTATTTGAAACGCGGCATGGAAGAAAGATTCAACGAGGGCGTATGGAAAAGCCGGAATCCGGACCTGAGCCGGAAACGGAACCGGAGCCGGAACTTAAATTGAGACCGGGGTAAACTAGGAGGCACCGAAACCAGTTCCCGATACCCGTGTGGAAATAAAATTCAAGATGGCGTCCTCTGTTATCATTGTTTTGAGAAATTTTTAACACAGTGAACGTGATACCAAAGATATACTCACATTCGTGACTTGCAAAAATAAAAAAACATAACCACTAAAATTCAAAGACTCAGCCCATGCTGTTCCGCCGCAGACTCGAGCATAAATTCAAGGCACAACAACTTCACATTTTGAAATGTACTCACATTTCAATCGATTCGTCGCTTTGTCGCGATCTGTAAACGAAAACAGATATGTTTTTGTAAAATGGTAACGGAATGAAAACTTTTATCTTCTTACTCGTACCTTTTCTTAAAAGGGCTCCGTGTTTCATCCATTGTGAGGGAAAGGCGGCAAAGGGAGGAGGAGTACTCATGTCAATCATGATCCCAAGTTGCAACGCTCATGCGTATATGAAATTCTCGAAGAAAACGATGTTGCGCCGTACGCAAAAAGTGCGACAGTAAAAAATGTAATAACAATAAATAAATATAATGTGGGGATGAAAAGTCTTGATCGAGCAATTACTGTTAGTGACACTCAAGACAGAAACGTCTCCTATTTTTATTTCTTAGGTTCGGGTTCCGGTTCCGGTTCCGGTTCCGGTTCCGTTTCCGTTTCCGTTTCCGGCTCCGGATTCCGGCTTTTCCATACGCCCATTCAACGACCCTGCTCTTCCTGTATTAAAACAAGCAGTCAGTCCTGTTAAAGCTTATCAGAGTAAATAAGAAAGCCACTCCCTTGAAGAGCTAGCTCTTCTAGAAGGAAATGAAGAAGCTATCATTATGGAGTGTCTAATTGCTAGAGAGAGAATCTGTGGTCCCAGTAGTATGGCTCTAATTGCTCCTATTATCAGTAAGGCTACCTCTATCTCTCAAGGTCGGTCTTCGGGCAGGTTAGATGTGGTTCATAGGATGGATGTAAGCACTTATTAGATGTTGAATGCAATTGAAATAAGCCAGCGTCGTAATCAACCATTCAAAAAGTACTTTAGAGCTACAATGGATCTGTTTGCAGCCATGATTAAAGAAGAGTTGATGCCAAGAGAAAAGGATGTAATTGAACTGTTGGCAAAAATTGTCTGTGAGTACAAGAGAGGGACAAAATATATTGCTTTTTCACGCAATGATTCTGCTTAAGTTTTTCTGCCAACTGACACTACTCCGTGAAAAGAAACATGACCAACTTTTCTTCTCGCATTTAAGGGAGTTTCTAAGCCTCAATCCAAAGGATCAGTTTGGAAATACATTGTTACACTTTGTGGCCTCAACACGTGAACCAATTGTTTTCCCGCATAGGTTTTATCGTTTTAAACACCCTCTGATTCAAATGTTCCATTTACCATGCACGTATTCCATGAGAATGATTCTTGATTACAGACCTGGCCTGGTTCATGTTACAAATAACAATGGTGACACTACCCTTCATCTGACCACAAGATTTAAATCTGAAGTTGAACAGGTGCACATTTTGATTGATATGTTGCAAGTGTTGCATGGCAAAGGTGCGCATCATTACTATGTGAATAATGAGGGTAAGACACCCATTGATGAAGCTGAAACCCAAGAGGCAAAACGCTTTCTTTCTGACACGAGCAGTATAAAATTACAGTACATTGCTGCCATTGCAGCCAAGAGATTTGGACTCCCTTATTATAACATAGTCTCAAAGGTCCTTGAAGAATTTATTGACAGGCATTAGTTACCTCAGCAATCAGAACTAAACCTTTGATGATATTGTCATTCACAAAATGGCAGAAAACATTTTTACAGTCACTTGCAACGAGTTCCTGTGTTGCCAGCAATAGAATGTATAGCTTTCAGATTCAACAGTGGAGGGAAAATAAACCACTTGTGTTCCTGTTTTGCTCTACATGTGCAGAGACATTGCTTTTGATTGTTTAAAGTTTTGTAAATGATTTGTTTGAACAATTTTAAAAGAAAAGTCATCGTTATATACTTTTGTAAGGAATGTCTGTCAGATCATTTCGGAAGTGACAGAAAACACTTTTAACCACTTTGCAAACAGTTTCTAGTTGTGTTGCCTGTGAAGTGAAATAGTAGGTACAACTTTCAGTTTCGACCATGAAAGGAAAATTAACCGCTTGTGTTCCTGTTTTCCTCTAAATATTCAGTTTAACAATATTTGATTTTCTGATCTCATAGAAAAATGTACCAACATGTGCCATGCAAATACAGATACTTTCATTTATTTAAAAGCTTTGTAGATGATATATTTGAAGAACTGTTAAAGAAACGTTAGTGTTATATATAAATAAATTTGTATGGATTGTTAGCCAGATCAGAGACAGACTCGTACACAGTCGCTGTTTTTGTATTTTTGGGTTGAGAGAAGATTGGGGTTAGATTGAGGCGCGCGGGGACTCATGGGAAGAGTCCTTTCCCATGAGTCCGAAGGAGGGGGACGACGTTGATGAGAGCGAACAAGTTGGTTAAAATGTTCTGAAACGGGAATAGGATTGCTTAGATGATTGTAGTTGAGGATGGAGTGGCGATGTCAAATCTCTTAGTGAATTGTTGCTTGGTCTCTCTCAGTACTGTCAGTTAAGTTTTTGGATTTACAATTTAACCAATCCAAAAAATTTCCATTGGGAATTCATTATGCTTTTAAAGCAGATCTATTTTATATTCTTAATAATCATAAAACATAGAATGTAATAAATCCTTTAACCAGCACAACATGGATCGAGATCAACCAATTGTAAAATAAAGACGTGATCTTTTGAACCAGCTGAAGAAAACCTATATTTCGGCAATGGTGGCGAAGAAATTGCTGGTAGAAGACAAAATAACAGCTTGGGTCAAACAAGTATGTCTCCTGGGTAAAGTTTCGAACAGAAAAACATTGTTTGGTAAAACATTTTGCTTTCTTGAAAAACGTTCGCTATCAATATTTAACTTTGTACTTCGAGTAACTTACTGTTTTCTGACAAGAGGCATGCTGATTGGCCCACAACCAATGCAACTTTCTCGGAATGTATTGTTATTTTACTTTAATCCGATTGGTCAACTTTGTCCAGGTGGCCCGGCTTACAGCAGTCGCACTGTAAGCATAATTTCCATAAGAAAACAAAGGAGGTTTATATCAAAACTCGATCAATCTCAGCCTCACATTCACTCGAAGATTATGGTACTAAAACACACAACTGTAAAATGGTCTATTCAAGAGATTCGAATATCATAATTCTCACTCGTTCAGATTGTTCTAGAAAAAATGTCGATCTGGTTACGCAAAAAACTTGGCCTCTCAATATTATACACTCAATGTCAGATCCCCTGGGAAACAGTTTTGTTTTCCCGAGAGTCTTGATTTTTCGTCGAGGGAAACATCAGGACTCGAGGGAAGACAAAAAAACTGGTTTCCCGAGTGACCTGACATTAAGTGTTTTGTTACATTTCTAGACTTTCACTTCATCAGCAACAAAAGAATAACCGGAGCGAACCAAAACAGTCGACTCGGTACCAATAAGGGGCCGACCATTTAACTCTTGAGGGGCGGGGGGGGGCGTGGTTGATTTCGAAAAAAAATTTCCTGGAAGCGCTTGTCGGAAGAAAAAAATTGCATGCAGCACAAATGTAATAGAAAGCTTATGGGAAAAAAAGGGAAAAAATATCCTGCCAACCAGGTTTCTAGGAAAAAAAAATTATTGATGACCAGAAATCACCCACCCCCTCCCTCCCCCTCCCCTCCACGAGTGAAATGGTCGGCCCCTAACAAAACAAATTTAATTTTCAAAACCACTGAATGAATGATTTACAAAGCACTTTTCTTATGTTATCCTCATCTTTTTCCCCCACTAGCTGCTGTTTCTCTTCTGGGATAACTTTAAAAATCGTTGCTTTCTAGCTTGAGGCTTCGTGTTTTTGTTGTTGTGTTCATTCACGAAAACGAAAACTTGCAGTGTTTTTCCCGCCTTCTGTTACGCCACTTTCCACCATGCTTTGATCACACGCTGTAATGTATTCCAAGCAGGGTACATTGCTTAATGTATTACGATTGGGAAAGCGATCTGGATACATTTGATTCTAGTCAAGGCCACGTGACCAAGAATCAACCAATGGCAGTCCCTGTTTAGTTGAGTGAAAGTCTAGGAAGATAACAATACCTCGTCTAAAGCGTCACAAAACCCGGACTAAAAGGAAAGTTATGTGTACATAAGGTCGTATTTTATACTTGTCTTTATGAAGTATTTATCTAGCCATCACCTGCCTTTGCATTGTGCTGAGTTGGCATACAGATATGAAACACACACACACAATTCAATTAAGTAACACATGTCGAGCTTACAGTATTTTAATAGTAAAACAATTATATAAAAAGCGAAGTTTCAATAAAAAACAATATTTTTATGCAGTAACTCCATCTTTGGTAACTTCAAATGGCTGTGGTACATCCATGGCTCCACTTTGAGTAATCTCTACTCTCTGAACTGGGTGGCTAACTGCATCCGTCTTAACATTCTCAATCTTTTTTACTACATCCTACATGTACGAAAAAGGTTAATTTTCGAGGGCATTAAAATACAGCAACTAGACTCACAAAGCCTTTTTAAATTACTTCGGTGAACCACCCATGCCAGCCCAGTGCCAAAAAAGTTATATACAGTGTAGATATCAAGTTTATGAGATAATGCTTGGATAAAGATCTAAACCCCTAAGCAGGAATCAAACCCTGGACCTCCCGGCTGGCGGCTGAACTATCATTGACTCCGTTGCGGGGATAGCCAGGCTCCATTACCAGCTGCTGTTCCAGAAAATCGAGCCTAATGGCGGTGACATCTCTTCAGTACAAACAGAAAGTAAATGAGAGATCCATTATATACGCTAACTTTTGAAAAACTCTTTATTAATGGTTCATTTTTATCCTCTGTAAGTGTATGTTTTTTGGCTTTTGATAGTTAGGATGGAAACGGATTGAAACTTGAAAAAAAAAAAATGGGAGAACGTTTTCAAGTTAAGCTGCTTTGTTGTCGAAAAATGGCCAAAACTTATCATGCTTCTTTTCCCTCGGATGAAACCATTTGATACTGCAGTGTATCGCGTAATGTCACGTGACATATGTAAGAAAATTGCTTATTATGGGAATAGAGAGGGGTAGTCGTTGCGTCTCGTTGCGAAGGTGGTAAAATTTCAAATCCTCCAAATATAGCAGAAAAAACGAAACACTTGACACTGTAGGACTTTCCCGTGCCCAGTTTCTCACAAGAACAAAATGGCAGCTCATACTTTTCTTCCATAGTTCGACAATGCAAATGGCCGTCTCTGTCAAGAAAGATCGTTAAGATCCAGAAATTTTGCTCCCATGGTAACGTGACGTCACACTTCTATATTTTTAGTTGAGCACGTGGCTGTTAGTAATTGCTTGTTCGTTCGTTGTATAGTTCCTCCGGTAAATACATTTCTAATCATTTACGTTTGATTTAGAGTTTCAAGTATGAGGGAAAGATGGCTCAAGAGTATATTTTAAGCTCAGCTTTGACCAAAAAATGCCGATCTCACCATGAAGCAAAGCCTCTTTAAGCGGTATGAAGTGCGCCATTGTATTCCCTCTAGTGGGCAGTAATATCTGACTCCCCGTGATGGACACTTTCGCTTGGTCTACAGTGTGTACATTTAAGAGTGTTTCGACTTAAAAACAAGCAGCAATCTTTTCAAACACCTACCATTCCTTCCAAGACTTTTCCAAAGCACACGTGCTCTCCATCTAACCAAGGTGTTTTGACTGTTGTGATGTAGAACTGTGATCCATTAGTATTTTTGCCAGCATTTGCCATGCATAACCAGCCTGGACCAAAGTGCTTCACATCGAAATTCTCATCATTAAAGTTTGTTCCATAAATACTGTAACCTAGAAAAATATCGACAGTAATCTCAGAATACTAATTCCACTTGGTATCCTAATGAAACAGAAAATGGTCAAGGGCGTTGGAATGAACAAAACATGCATGGTAATAAACGTTACAATGTATTTTTTGAGACAGACATTAAAACTAGCTGGCAGTAAAAAGTAGAATAGTCCTACCTCCTGTACCATCTCCTTTGGTAAAATCTCCTCCTAAAAGTAAGAAAAAAAATCCTCAATGATTTCTGAATACTCGCAAATACGGTTATATTCGCATTTGACGGCTAAATAAGCGAAGACAAAAGATGTATTAGAGTGTCAATTTTTTAACACATCATACCCAAACATCATCACCCAGGAACCATTTTGGAACTAATTTAATAATCTGCCTTCTTCACCATTAATTATTTCGACGAAATCAGTGTTAACGGACTTACTTTGCTTTTTTATATTTCCGTTCAGTATGTGACATTATTTAAGGCTCCCAAAAGGTATGAAAACTCCATGTAAATCACTTGAGTGCAGTTTCTCAAAGATCGGTTAGAGCTAACTGAAATGTATTTATTTAGAATTTAAACCCGCGATTGGGCTTAACACATTAGCCCGAATGAACATCAAAATAACTACATAATTTAATATGACTGCTTTTCTTACAAATCAGATCCAAATTTCAACATACCTTGAATCATGAAGTTTTTTACCACTCTGTGAAAAGTACTTCCTTTGTAACCGTAGCCATACTAAAAAAAAAGATTTAGAAGAATCACATTTAGTAAGTAGAATTTGTCAAAAAAACCTTTCGAAATAAGAGACTGAGGCGTGTTGCTGAAAATGGATAACAGGGAAGAAATGAAATTTTAAAATAACGCATTTTTGTTTGATTCTGGGAAATCCGTAACTGAGAAGGAGAAACAGAATAGCTAATGAATTGTTTTTCTGCCGCCCAGTTCCCTGTAATTCATGTGTAATTTACATACATGGAATTAGCGAATATGTCTCAATGTTTTCATTCATTGTTATTTAATTTCTAAAGTTTCATAAAAGACTGTCGCTGCAAAGAGACGACTAATTTCCAAACATGATGAACTTCAAGGAAAGAATATTCCCTTTTCTACGTAACTTGAGACAGAAGGGAATAAACTCACCTCGTTTCCCGCTAAAGATACAAAGTTTGTGACAGTCTTGGGAACCGTGTTGCCAAATAAACCCAGGACAATCCTACCGGCGGGCTGTCCTCCGATGCCAATGTCGAAAAAAACTTTCCGAGTCACAGTCGTGTCTGGATCCGCTTTCACCAACATCGCCATATTTAACAGGCAAAACAACGAAACCTTTAAAATCATGGTCATGATGATCTGGTCTCAAAACCTAACTAAAAAATTTAAAATGTTTTTCTCTAAGTAAGTCAGTTTTACAAGACAAGAAAATAAAGAAGATATTAAGATTTAATAACACGTGTCACAGATCACGTTAGCCATTGGAAGGTTAAGTTGACGAGAAAAAACGGATCTTTCTTATGGGCAGGTACTTTTCCATTTAAACAATTACCAGCTTTTAAGTCGTCCCCAGACTTCTGCGCTTAATCGATATTATATTTGAGTTTTGAAGCAAGAAAAGATTAGATGCGAGTGTGGGGAACGCACGCAGAGAGTCGCGACTCGCTTCAATCACCCGAAATTAAAACTTATCACCGCTTGAGTCAAAAGTCAAAGCCGAGCCATGATCAGTGTTAAAAAATTCAGTAAACAGTGAATGTCAGATACAGAAAAACCTGCAGTAAAAAAAATAATAATAATAAATGCACTTTGTTGGAGTGTCAATATACTAAGCAGGAAAGTGCTAATTGGGGACACTTTTTTTGCGTCTCCTTCTGGAGACGGGACCGCCATTTTACGTGGTCATCCGAGCCACGCGAAGGTGTAGCCGCTTGCTGTGCAAAAGAAGTACCTAGTTCATTTCTCAGTTATTTTAAGACCCTGAGTAACGGTCCGGCCCCGGGAATCGAACTCGCGACCTACCGCTCTGCACTCATGCGCACAACAGACTGAGCTAATCCTTCCGCGGTTAAGCCGACACGAACTCCCCAAGGAAACTTTTCTTTTCATATTTTCAGTGAAAAAAAACTGTCACATAAAAGGATTTTGACCCAAACTCAAGCGTATGAACTACACATGCAAAAAATGTCTAGAGTTGCTAACTTTGTGAACAAGCCCTCTGGAACGAGTAGGTATATGAAGAAAACGAGTGCTCGTGTTCTTTTCCCTCCCCACCCCTGTCCCGAGAGTATGCTACAAGCTATGGAGTTGCGAAAACGGAAGTGCTGCTGCAGTAAAAGCAGTGCAGTAAATTATTGCGATATTTATTTAACTGTATGAACCACACTAGCCTGTTCCAGGCCCCGAGATAGTGGTGAAAAGTCGTTCAGTAAAAAGAACTGCGAAAAACGCGCCCCGTTCCCAAGTCGCGTGCGTCTTATTTTCGTTTTGCTCGTTTTAATACGTCCCCACTATACTATCTGAGAGCCTGGCACAGGCTAGAACCACAACGCAGCAACAGTTTTCCTTTGCTTTATTAAGAAACGTTATCGCATCTTTCCATACTTTTCCACTACACATAGCAACAAATCATGTGATATTACACTAGCTAAGCAAGCCTATATGATAGATCTATACTTCGAAATATCAAACCAGTACATAACACTGTATCACTAAAGGGAACTCTAATGTACTCCCCATGATAGCCATAGGATGCTGTTTCCTGGGCAAAGAAAATAGCGCAAAAAACAACAATAACAATAACAACTGAAAAAGCACGTGTTTTGTGGCACTAAACAAGAACACCACTCTTTGGAACTGTAAAGGGCCAGTTGAAGCCCTCTACCACGCCTGAATCTGTGATCTTCACTTGGTTTTTAGGTCTGTCAGATTGATCCGTCTCCAATTCACTGATTTCTTTTACGATTTTCTGTCGAGACAATTATATATATTAAATAATTTTCATTAATTTCCCTTTCATGTGATTGTATCAGTTAAACGTCGATGATGATTATTACATATATTTCTTGTTCTGTCCCATGGGTATTTAAAGTTAAACGAAATAATTGAGATTTTTTTTTGTTGGCCACTAAGATAGCCTGTGAACCTGGCTAAAAGAAGTTTTCGTGCACTGTTTAACGCGAAGAAGGTTGCGTCGAACTCTGGCCAATTGCTGAGCAATGAGCAAGTGCAAAAATGTGGGATTTCAAAAAGAGAGTACTCAGGGTACGAAATAAATGCATAATTCGATGACCATTGTTAAGACTGAAAACGAAAACCTAACAGTGAACTGGCTCTCTGTTTAGGTGGGAGAAGGCTTAAAATCGCGAGTAGACGGCGTGGGCAGAACTGGGAGAATGGGGTAGAGGATCTGCGTCCCTTTTCCCCTCCTAATATCTCCGCCAATTTTTCCTATTAAGAAACCTGTTCACAGGCTACTGAGGACTCTTCTAAAATGCTTTTATTTTCCAGGCAATTCTAACAGTGCCTTTAAATGAAGGAATTCTAAATGACACGAAAACAATTGTTTTGTCATCTAAAACACAAAACCCTATTTGACTAACCATTCCTTCAAGAACTTTGCCAAAACATGTGTGCTTTCCATCCAACCATTTTGTCCTGACTAAAGTGATGTAAAACTGCGAACCGTTAGTGTCCTTTCCAGCATTAGCCATACACACCCAACCTGGCCCATAATGCTTCAGGATGAAATTTTCGTCATCAAAGTACTTTCCATAAATACTTTTAGCTGAAAATGTAACACAGGAGTGAGATAATTATAGTATTAGAACGTACCTGAACAGTCGTTGCTTATAATGATGACAATGACAACACCCAGAAGAAGAAATGTAAGATGGTAGCTGACTATTTACTTGCCGAATGGCGTCGTTTTAGATCGTCTCGACTACAAACTGATGAAGGACCAAGAATAGATCTTGACAAATTTCCAACCCGGTTGTAACCCAATTCTGTTACACTTACGAACAAAAAAAACTTAGACGTCTTCGTCTAGCTCTGGTTCATTTCCCTTAAAACATAGCTAGAAACACCATGGATAATAGAAAGACTGGGTAGGCGAAAACAAAGAAACAAACAGGCAAAAGAAAGAGAAAGAAAAGGATCGGTTATTGTTTCCAAAAAGGTCCAAATTTTGAATTAGACGCAAGTAAAACAATAAAAACACTTAAAATGAAGTCAAGTTGAGTGGAAAAAATTTACTTTTTGTCAAATAGCAGAGGGGTAGCTACCTGTACGCCATAACACAAAGAAAAATGTCAAAAAAAAAGGGATGAAAAACAAAGCAATTAAAGAGGAGACGGTAAGTAAGGGATAGCTAAAAAAAAAGGTGCGTTTTCCCATGTAATTCCACTTTCAAAGACTCAAAAGGAAATGTTTTCTCTTGATTTTACAACTGCTACTTGAAGAACAGGCTCCCAAGACTAAGAGATTTGATTATTAATTCACCATATTGATAAAGATGGGAAATTTCATCAAGTCACCCGTGTAAAAACGATTTGAGAGACGGGATAGTTGATTTGGGAGACTGAACTCACCTTTGGCAAATTCTAGCTACGTCCCTGATTAGATGCAGTTCTGAAATGCTTACCAGTCCGAACTGAATAGTGCACGTGGCTAAATAGTGCATTTTCCGACAATATCGAACAAAAGAGGCAAAGCTGATTTTACAGTTAGGAATATACATTTTTTGTTACCAATATTTCGGAAGGCACGGCCTTCCTTCTTCAGGGTCTTACATACAACGATAAGGTTAACCTAAGACGTTACAATTTGACGTCTCAAGCCCCCCCCCCTCCCCTCCCCTCCCCTCCACCTTCCCCACCCCAATTCATCGTGAAAGTTTTGTTGTCCTCCCCACAACAGATACAGCCGGTTGAAGAAACAAAATTAGCATGTAATAAGTGATGAAATAAGATAATATTAGATAGATAAGTAGGAGAGAAAAATTCATCTTACATCCAGATCCTTCACCGTTGTCACTGAAATCTCCACCTGCAATGGCAAAAAGCAAACGAAGCGAGAAGAGATTAACTCCTCAATCGACCTAAAAGCGATATTATCACCAAATCCTGCAGCAAATCCCTAAGAATTCGTTGCAAGTTAAAGCAAAGTCAAGCCGAGAAATAAGAAAGATTTTTAAAACTATTTAAAAGGTTATCCCAGAAGGCTTACCTGGGTTACCGTGGCAACCGCGATATTTCAAAACACAACAGGGTCGCAAAAAATTAATCTGGAAAAGATTTTTGAGGTTAGTCACGTGACTCGTTCATATTTGTTGTTACACATGGTTTCTGAGTCGTCATTTCTTGGTTTTTGATCAATTTTGTGAGGTTATCCAAGTAAACCAGGAGAGCTACGTAGCTTGTAAGAAAAGTGCAATTTTACCTGGTGAACGTGGTATCACGAACATGAGTAAATCAAGTGTAACAACCCAAGCAAATGGTCTCAATTTATATCAGCAGTATATGTGTGCAAGGGTGTAGGTATCAGAGGATTTTTCACCATGAGCTTCTACATTACCGTCTTCCTGGGATACTAGAGCAGGCGGCTGGCACCTCTGTTCCCAAGGAATCCTTAGCTCTTGAAACCATGGGAATAGAATGCCGCATTCTTTGGATAACTATTATCAAAGCCAAAGACTGTACGTATGGAAATAAATGTATAGTGCAATAAGCATTTTTTTTTGGCTTATACGGGGCTGTCTGTATTATCGCGTATTATCAGGACCTTGTCTTGAGAGGTTTTGTAGACGTAGTGCTTTTCATGTTAAGTATAAAAGAGCGTGTTTGATATATTTTTAAAAGGTTTTTTGCTATTTCAAAAACGCAAAGCTTAGAGAGGATGGAGAGACAAATTCTGAGACTGTTTCACTGCCCAAACTTCTGTCTCTAAACAAGAATATCCCCATAATAAACTAACCGTTAACTTGTAAAATCACACTTTCCTTTCTTCTGGACGATACATCAACTGCTCACAAATTATAAAACAAACCTTGTATCATGAAGTCCTTGATCACTCGGTGAAAAATTGCGCCCCTATAGCCAAAGCCGTACTACAAAGTAAAACCAAAACAACAGATTTGACATGAATCTTTTTTATTAGCGTAGGGAGAACTCAGGTAGGTTTTTTGGTGTATGTGGCGAGCAGTCACGTTAAGAATAGGAATATAGAGTCGAATCCTGAGAACTCGAACTCTCGCTAACTCAAACCTCGCGCTAACTCGAGCCAAAATCAATTTTCTCTGGATTTCCTTCATACAATACCCGGTTACTCGAACTCTCGAAAACTCGAACATCCCGGTAACCCGCGGCCAATGTAATTTTTGTTTCCCTACAAATGATTTTTATTCAATTTTACCCTCGATAACTCGAACTATGTTTTAAAGCGTGACAAGACGAAAAAAACGTCGACAATGAGACACTGAATTTATTTCAAAACTGCCGCGTATTCTTTGTCTGTACTTCTTTTTCAATCTTGTTCAAATGCCTTGTCCAGACCTGATCATGAATACTTAGTACTCAAGTTTTTTGCTGCCCTTGAAGTGAAATGTACATAGCATCTTGCATTCCTTCCCCAACCATATGCTTATTTCCTTATTTTAGGTTATTTGCTTCTAACTCCCGATAACTCGAACTCTTTGCGATTTTCCTACTCGGAATGTTCGAGTTATCGGGAGATGACTGTATTTCTAAATGATAATGATTTTGTTATTCTGTACCAAACGAAGAGTTTTTGAGAGAAACTTGAGTGTGTGATAGTTTCCAGATGTCTCATTTTCATGTTTGTTGAGCAGTTGATATTCGTGGATGTGTTTTCTCAGCTGTACTATCCAATTCATGCCAAAAAACAACAATGGCGGACTTCCGTTATAAATCGATAAAGTCATGAAAAGTCGATAATATCGATTTGACACAGCAATTTAGTTTATCGATTTTCACCGATTTTCGGTATCAATCGATAAAAATCACTTGATTGCTACCGATTTTTATCGATTGACTACTCCGGGCTTTCAGCGTTTACGAAGTTGTTCGCGTCGCCAGTCGCGTAAACAAACAAACTACGCGACTGGCAAGCGACGCGAACAATTTCGTAAATGCTAAAAGCCATGCAAGAGGCAAACCCGGCTCTGCTCGCAGGGTATTAGATACCCGGGGGAGCACTTGGGTATTTTTTGGGTGGGTATGTGCCGCCCGGGACTCCAAATTGGCACCCCGTTCTAAAAAAAATTCCCCTAAAACTGATACCCCGTTCTAAAAATGGGCCAATTTTTTATACTCCGTTCTAGAAAGTTTGTAAATTGAAATAGCCCTGTTTTTTTAAAAAGATATTTCTTTATTTGTTCGACTTATACATCAAATAAATGCTTCTTCATAATCAGCAACAATTTCAAGCAGAAGATAAAGCCGTGATCCCCAATTTTTTATACCCCGCTCTAGGAAACGCCTCTGAAATGGATACCCCGTTCTAAACCAGGAGCTTCAAAATCACGACCCCGTTGGGCGGCACATACCCGTATAGGTAATGTATGGGAGTACCGCCCCCGGGATTAGATACAGAGGAGAGCTAGGTCGAAAAATCAAGACTGTTCGTAAAATCATCCTCACTTCTCTTTTCAATTCTACAAAAGACAAAAGGCCGGATATTTCACATAATTTTTGAATGATTTTGAGAAGATTTTAACCTCATCGATCGTTCAGCCCCCTAACCTACGAATGAAGCGGCCTCTCAGCGATCGCAACTCGTGGCAAGAACGTCCCAGCGACGAGAAGCAACTTGAGAGGCGATTATATTCGCCGGCTATCGGCTATTATGTGTTTAAGGAGTAACCGTACCTCGTGGGAAGCAAGGGCCTTGAAGTTTTCTACGGTTCGAGGAACTGTTTTTCCGAACAACCCAATAACAATTCTTCCTTTTTCTTGCTCGCCAATGCTGATGTCAAGATATACCTTGTTTGTGACCAGTGTATCGGAATCAGCGCTAACAACAAACGGCACGAAAAGAGCGTTCATGTAGCAGATGGTGGCAAGAAGGAGAAGAACCATTTTGAAAGCCAGACACTGATCGTCAAGTTAGCAAGCTTTTCGAAAACCAGAGTGATGGTGCAGAAGTGAATGCGTAGGTCTCATATTCGCTGCCACGTACACATATCTGGAATGAATAACCCCTCTGTGTTATCAATGGAGGATTGTTTCATCTGACCAGCCTGGTGTAACGCAACACTCACAGTCTTCAAAAGCCCTGCTAAACGTAATATTTTAGAGATCTTCTGTAGAGATCTTCGAGCGCGCGTATGAAAGTAACCTGTGATTTGGCGTTTTTCTTTTCTTTTTTTTAAAGGAAAGGGGAAGAAGTCGCTGCTCTAAGTGCCAAATGTTTTTCCTTGCGTGCGGAGGGATGCCTAGATCCCGGGGCCTAGATGTCCGCCGCAGGTCAACACATGGGACACATCTTGGGCTGCAGGAAAAGTCTCTGGTACGCAGGATAATCAGTGGTACATAATTGCAGGTTTAACTGCAGGGGAGTTATTGAAGGGGTAGGGGCAGGAAAATGAGAAAAGAAATTAAACGGTCTGTGCACGTCTTTGAGCACATCTTATCTGTCTACTGATATCTTTTAGAGCCAACTGAGACTGATTTTCTTTTTCCAGAAAAAGCAAATTACCATTCGCCAAATGGCGCTCACTATGTCATCAGACGTTTCATTCTTATTTTCGCGTACTCGCCACTTATGCGGATTGATCATGATAACTATTAAATTCCTCGGAAAAAAGGGAAAACTATTGGTGGAAAGACTAGAGGAGGTTTTAGTTTTTTTTGTTTATTTATTTATTTTTGTTTTCCTTGAGCAAGTTTTCTTGTTGAGAACAAATCAAAAACTAAATAAAAAATATATCACGCTCTAACTCGGAAAGAAAAAAACTGAATTGCCCGGGCGGACTCCCAAAGATTTGAACTCCTAAACGAGACCAATCTGGGCGTGGCTCAGTAGTAGAAACCTTACGAAACTTCGAAGGCGACGGCAAGGAGAACGTCAAAAAAACAATAGGTTTAATGAGCAAAACAACAACTCCGCAAGTGCATCACGCTTGTTTTGTACATTTCTTTGCTGTTCCTGCACAACAACGACATGAAATGACCACATTTTGAGAGAGTTGTGTCACGAAATTCAGCCAAATTAGTAGCCTGAAATTCATCCGATTGCTTCGAGTCGTTTTCTCCTCGCAACAACGTCGTTTCTGAGGGAGTAATAACGACTCGAAGTAATTGGATGAAATTCAGGCTACCAAATTAGGCAATTACAAAATGCCCGTTAAATTAAGAGAAACGTAAAAATAACCGCTTAAAACATTAAAGGAAGGTTAAAATAACACAACCAATACAACAGATAACACGGATGGGCAAAACTGAAGAAGATTGACACGGATTGAAAACAGTTTTTCAAAGTTGACCTCTGCTGTTTGCAACTTCAAAAATAATGCTCAGGAGACATATCTGTTTGTCTCGAATCTCTGATTTTGTCATTTCCCAGTGTAATTTCTATGCTTACTTTAAGTTCCATGGCGATTGAGGGCGAGTAATCGGCAAAATTAAACAAAATGAACTGGACTGCCGTGACACAGGCCCCTTAAGTTTACTTGAGTACGGGAACGGCAAGGCGATAAATTCCACCATCTCTTTCTAAACTCGGACGCGGTCCCCTCTCTTCAGCTCCAACCAAAATTCCCTTCTTTTAAGTAACAGGGCGAATTGGGATAATCGCGAAAATGTTTAAAAGGATGTGAAGTCTATTTTTCAGCGACGTTTTCGTGGACGTCGTCGCCGTTGTCGGATCGTAAGGTCCCTTGTATTAGAGAGCTTAAGCAGAGACGTTTTTTAACGACGCACGTCAACCGGAAGTGAGTCCTCCGTTTTTATATACCTTGACGCTAACAAATTTGTATTGCTAAGTTTCTTTTCTCTTATAAAGACGGTTAACCCGAGAGTGTCGACCAAACCAGGGGAGAGGGAGAAAAGCGAAAAAAAGAGGTAAAATCCCCCTTTTTCTCCCTTCCTCCCTATCCCCTAACCCTTCTTTCGACGCCTCCTACGCAGGCTAACCGTCGCTCAAAAACGCTGTTGCTTAAGCTCTTTAATTGACCTCTAAAAGAGACTACTGTTGGTGAAAAAGCCCACCAGATCGGCTTGTCCGGTCCGCTTTTCCGATGAGGCAATGTGGATTGTTGGCACTTACACAGGTCAAGCCAGAAGCTATCCACATGAGGCCTTACACTAAAACGTCAACGGGGATTAGGCCCTGAAAAATGAATTCAGTCACGGATGCTGAATGGCTTGAGGCTACAAGCTTGATGCAATGCTTCGTGCTCGCAAGTCGTTCAAAATGGAGCCGGAACTCGGTGAGCCTCAAACTGTTACAAGTTCACATATGTAGCTACATTTTTTGACCGAGATACATCAAGTTTCTTTTTTTTTTTTTAAGTAATGATAACCTCTATAACGCCCACTTTGCAAGACGGTGGTAAGTGCTGTACCAATCCATGTCACACACCAAAGCGAATCAACTGAGGCCAGTTCTCTACAGTCGTTCTAAGTTACCTACATGTAGAAAGCGATAGTAGGTAAACCTAGGCACACGAAAAAAACGAAACCACGAAACCCACGACACCATATGCAAAACAGAGCTTTCAGTAAGTCGTAGCGGTTTTGTAAGGCAATATCCATCTATTCCTGAAGTTCACAAGATATGGGCTTGGAAGTTTTTGATGTTTTAACCCTTTTTTTTCCTCTTTTGATACCGAATATATTGTTTTGCCTTTCTTCTACCGCCTCTCTTATTTCCTTTCCAAAATGGGTCAACTTCTACTATCTTTTCAAGAGTGGTTACTTCGTATTATGAAGTCAAAAAATACACTAATAAATATTGTGGTTTCTTCGTGGCTTCCTGTGTTTTGTGAAAAAGATTTGGTTGGCATACCGAATTTTGTTAACATCTCTATCGAATGTATGGTTGTTTTACACGTGAGAATCACAAAAACAGAGACATAGTGGAAGAGAGATTACGGAATTTGCATTCCTCCGATGTTTGAAAATATGCGAGTCGCCAATGTAGTCTAGTTTCTGGAAATGTCGCACCTTTTAGGAACGTCATATTTTACATTTTATGACTACAATATCTCTGACCGCGCGAGGAAGATGTTTAGGTCTTACCAAAGAAAAGGGTTAGCACAAGTTCGTCCTTGGAATTTATCCACCTGTATCACAGTCCAAGATGTTCATTACCACGGGCAAAGTTTTTCCATGTTAGACTGCATGTTCCGATCAATAAATCGTCTCAACGTCGTTGCGTTCAACGATTTGGTCGAGTTTATAATTCCGCTTCAGAATGAAAGTATGCCTTCTCTACCTTACAGTATCCACGACTCTAACTATTGAGGCCACTGTTTTACAAGCGCAAAGTTTCCCACTGTAGATAGCTTGACTCCAAACTGTTCTCTATTCTCTCAAAACATTCTACGTCGTTCACGGCAAGCTGAATCGTTACACACCAAATGCGTTGATGATCCACAAAGAGTGTTTGAGCACGCAGTACATCTTATCATGCAACAATTCGAAGGCTACAAAACTAACAATGTGAATTGGAACAAAGCCAGAGTTTTCCATTGCAGAAAATGTCAACCACCATGTAACACGGCCGCTGATATGAAAGTAGATACAACCAAGCGGAAAAACGGCCAGCAATTAACCCTATTCAGACTGGGCTTTTTTGGTCAATCTGTGACTGGGGGGGCCCCCTCGGACCCCCCCTTTGTTTCTACGGAACCAATAATGCTAGGGTCATGAAATTTACACACAATGATCATCTCCGTAAAAAGAAGCCCCACACCCAGTTTTGACTTGCCACGCCCAATGATGACGTCACAGTGACGTCATATTCCGATTTTTCAATGTTTCTTATTATTTTTCCACTTAGATACGTAAAATATCAATAATATTGGTAAAGTCATCTCTTTGTTATCCTTTCTTATGAACTAGTAACAAGGAAACACTTGTACAGCGAGAAAAAGCAAAAGCAAGCAATAAAATTTCAAATTTGAATTAATTGCCCGCCATCTTGGGTCCGCCATCTTGGATCCGCCATCTTGGATTTCCGTTTTTTTTGTTAAAATTATAATTTAAAGCAACTTTCAAAGGGGAAAAAGCTCAGAATGTATAAAAGAAGTATCAAACTAATGTTTATTACCCAAACAAATGACTTTGGAAGTGTTATTTGGAAAATAGAGCAGCATATTTGTTAAAGCAAAAAAGTGACAAATTTTACCCCACCCCTCCCCCCCAAATATTCGATGTTGAAACATTTTGATGTTATTCAAAAACTAGTCCCAAGCAAAGACCATTTTAACAACAAAAAGCACTATAAGTGTAAAAACGCGATCTTAAAACAAAAAAATCACCATTTTTTAAATTTTCCAAAACCTATGTGTCAGAAACTGGTTGCCATGGCAACATGATTAATCACATGGACATGGTAATTATACCAAAATGTTCCTAGATAAATTTTAGGAAAAGTCAGAAAATTTGAACGTCATAGCTCTTTCGGTGTAGGAGTTATCACGATTTTGCCGGAGGGGGGGTTCGAAAAGCCCCCCCCCCCAGTCTGAATAGGGTTAAGAAAGAACGTGCTTACAAGCTTCGTTGAAACACAAAAAAGGAGACATCTTGCAAGAGAGATTACGGAATTTGCAGGATATGGTAGACACATTTTGGTAAGGAACTGTTTTGCCTCCCATGAAAGGAAATTTAATATCCAGAACTGTCTTCCATTTTCCATTGAAATCTGTAATTCCGTCTGGTGAAGAACCCTGCCAGTTTACCTTATAATTAAATTATCTGTATTTTTGCCTCCAAAACGTTTTAGGTAGATGAGAAGAGTACTGTCTTCTTTGATAGAACCCCATAACATTGCCAAATTTGATTCATTTGGTTCTTTAGTTATACGATGTGAGTCATAAATTCATTCTTAGCTTGCCCAGTAATCATTCAATCAT